ACCCTATGAAAATAATATGGACTGCAGCCACTGCCGTGGCTCAGGACCTGTGCCAGCACCGGAATGGGTCCTGGAGCTTTGGTGCCCATCTCTGGTCATGGTGACCCAGCCCTGCCCCAGGTCACGGCTGAGGGCCCAGCGGGCGCAGCTCTGGGGAGAAGGTGCTCGTCAATGGCCAGGCTCGCTCGTCCTTTTGAGCTTTGCATTCCTCGTCCTTTTGAGCTTTACCTTTAGCAACTTTGGCTGGGTGCGTTGCCCATCCACGAGGCTGCAGACGAGCAGGGTTCTCCAGTTGGTTTCCTGTTTCTGGTCAAATCACCACATCTCACGTCAGGGCTGTGCTGCAGAGCGGGGATCGCAGAGCCCTTGGGGATGCTCCCATCTTCCATCAGGGTTCAAGGGTTACATTAGGGCAGGCTCAATTAAAAACTCAATAACCAGGTGTATGTAATGCATAGCCAGGTCCTGGCATTGCAGTGAGCAGAGGGCACAGCCCGTGCTGCTCTGGTCCGGGAGTGGGGAGGTGGTGATGGCTGGGCCGCTTGTGTGCTGCTCTGCCACGGCATGGGGGGACTTAGACCACCCCTCCATGCCGTGTGTGCTCCAACACTGCCCGAAATTGCAGACATCGCTGGGATTCGCCAGGCAGGAGCGGGAGGTCTGGAGAACTCAAGCTCTGCGGTGCCAGGCAGGCAGCAAATCTGCCACGAGCGAGGCGCCAGCACTGGATTTACTGGTGTGTCTGGGCAGCAAAAACTCCACCACCACCGCATCTGGGCACTAAAAGCTGACCCCTCGTCTTCTCCATAACATCCTCGTGTTGACTCTTGCACTTAAACTAAAGAGGATGGAGGGCCATCACTGGCGGTGCCTGCAGCTGTGCTCACATAGGGAAATGATGCTGCTAATACAAATAGCAGGGGAATATTTGGCTTGATTTCCAGTTCAAGGGACTGAAAAAGAGTTTGAATTTGAGTAAATGTCTGCCAAAGAGAAACCATGCGGGGAAGGAGGTGGTGGGTGAGCGCGGTGGGGCCTGCAGGGATGGGGAGGTGTGGATGTAGATGTGGATGGACCCCCACGTCCACCCTCTGGCTGCTGCAAGGCTCCTCGTGCAGCTTCTCTGAGCAGCATCTCACCACGGGGAAGCTTTATTTTAAAAAGAACCATCTGTGATTTCCTGATGTTCAGCACAAATACGCAGCGAGCTCTGCGGATCAGGGTCCATTCATCCCGCTCACCCGCACGGTGCACAGGGCACTGATCAAAGCCAGGAAGAACAATTTGATTTTAAAAGGCGAACAGTAGATTCGTGTTGGTTCAAAGGAGTGGATTTCAGTCCTGGAAGCCGGGATTTGAAGAACAAGGCACAGGAGGGTTTAGGTTAGCAAAAGAAATGAGATCTGAAATGCTTCAGAGGAGCTGAAGGAGTTGAAACGATTGAGGGAGGGATCGGTGGTTCCCAGTTTGGGCTTGAGAAATAATGCGGTTTGGCTTGTTGGGTGCTGGTATCAGAGGGGGGAAATCGCTGCTGGTAGCTCTGCAGTTTTCAAATCGAACCTTTAATTCCTGTTATTAATTCCCTTTTTCTTTCTTTTTTTTTTCCCTCTTTCAGCATGAAAGACTTTCCAGGTAAGAAGTTTATTTTTTGGAGTTTTTTTCTATTTACTATTTATTGACAGCGTATTTCTGTATGGCTTTGGGGTTTCCCTGTGCTTCAGATCAGCAGCCCAAGCTGCTGCCCATTCGGTTCTCACCTTAGCTCAGCTGCTGGACCAATTTGCTCTCATCCTTCTCCCTAAATTATTTAACAGCTGCTCCGCAGAGAAAAAACCCCTCTGTGCCCAATTAGAAACGGAGCCTCTTCCCACCGTGCAGATGAGAGGTTCATGGGGAGTTTCTGCCCATTTGGGGTTTGGGCTGAGATTTTTTTCTGGTTTTTAAAGCGGGGCTGGGATGCTCTGAGCCGTCCCAGTGCCTCTGCTCCCCCGGGTCCACCACAGCCTCCAGTTCACCCAGTTGGGCTGTCCCGGCTGTGCCAAGCACCAGCACAACCCCAGTGCTCCATCTCCATCCCGTTCCAGGTTGGAAGCAGCCACGAACCCTGCCAGCGGCGACTCCTACAGTGACCGTGCCTCCAGCCGCGCCAGTGCCTACGCCCGCAGGGAGAACCGGCTGTCGGCCCTCAGCAGCCGGGCAGAGGAGGAGAGCAACAGGGACTACAAAAAAGTAGGTGTTTATAAACATATTCTTGTCACTGTGTGCACCTCAGCAGCTGCCTGTCGCTGCAGAAACTTGCACTGAGAGGCTTTGGAAAGAAGGAGAACAAGAAGTGGTAATGGAAAAGGTTTCCATTGCTTTTAGAAGCCTTTTAGAAAGGCATCAGAGGGGCAAAAAAGGACAAGGGGTGGGGTGAGGGGGGCACAAAAAAGGTGGGGAGGGACTTTTTACAAGGGATGGAGTGATAGGATGAGGGGGAATGGTTTCAAACTGGAAGAGGGGAGATTTAGACTGGATATTGGGCAGAAATCCTTCCCTGTGAGGTGGTGAGGCCCTGGCCCAGGTTGCCCAGAGAAGCTGTGGGTGCCCCCTCCCTGGCAGTGCCCAAGGCCAGGGTGGACGGGGCTTGGAGCAGCCTGGGCTGGTGGAGGTGTCCCTGCCCATGGGGGTTGGACTGGGGGGCTGTGAGGTCCCTTCAACCCAAACCACGCTGTGATTCTGTGACATTTATGACAAAGAAAGCGGGGAGAAGAGTTGAGGAGTCAGGTGGGAGAAACACAGGAGGGATTTGAAAGGAGCAAGAACAGGCCCTGTTGCTCCCACGTGCATATCCCTGCAGTATTATTTTCACTGCTGTGACAGTCCAGATTTCTATAATCTCTGAAACTTTCATTGTAATCCTTGAAAGGCAGCAGTACAGACTGCCACACACATCAGGTATCAATGCAAAGACTGTTTGGAATGTGAAGAGCTGTGGATGACCTCAGTTCCGCAGTGACAGAGGCTGAAAAGCCCCATGCAGCGAGCAGCACCCAGCTCTGCAGGACTCATTGGGTCAGAGGAGACAGGCAGTGTGCCCGGTTTGTCCAGGAATGGAAATGCTGCTTGGTTGAAGGAAGGGAAGGGAAAAAATCCATTTTGGAGTGGCCCAAAACTCTCCTCCTTTCTGTTCTTCTTCAAACTTGTGCGACCAGGCTGTGTTGTCTTGGGAGCACAACAGAACCAGAGCTTCAGATCCATCCAGCACACGTAACTCAGCGCTTTATTATGCGTGGTGGTTTACCTAAATTAAAAACATCCTTTTCTCTGCCTCTTGGCTGTGTTTAAACACCCTGCAAAATTGAACAGCCGTTTTCTCATTTCTTATGAGTTATGAAAACGCACGTAAAGCATCCAGACCGGTGCTGTTTGCCCTGCTCCTCCTGACATGGGGGAGCAAAGCAAACCCTCAGCTGCGGAGGACACGGCAGAACGGGGCCTGGTTAATGGGGATCTCTGTTTCCTATTGCAGTTATATGAGAGCGCCCTGTCCGAAAATCAAAAGTTGAAGGCGAAACTGCAAGAAGCCCAGCTCGAGTTGGCCGACATCAAGTCCAAGTTGGAAAAAGCAGCCCAGGTAAGGCAAAAACTGGTTCCTAGACTGGAGACACCGAGCACCAGCCCGTGAAAAACCAGTGCGTGGGAAAGGATTTAGCTCTTGGGAGGGAGGGCGCTGCAGAAGAGGCTGTAATTTTCACAGAAGTAAGTGTGAGTGATTCTGTAAAGACTGCTTTTTCTCCGGGCAAGTGCATCTGTAGGCTATCTAGGCCTTTGTGAATGCCTCTCAGTTTTAATAGCTTTCTATTTTTAATTTACGTAGCAGAAACAGGAGAAAACTTCTGACCGGTCCAGCATGCTGGAGATGGAGAAAAGGGTACGTGTCTGCTTTCTTCTGGGTCTTTGCCTTGTGTTGCTCTGCAGTGCACAGTAATTTCTTGAAGGAAAGTGTTAATTATAAGATAAGTTATATTTTTTACAGTGATAATTGTGTTCTGACCTTTCTGATGCCTCAGACTTTTCTGCTCTCTTTGCAGATCAGCTTAGTTCTGATTTCTGTCCAACAGATTGTATGGCATCGCGCTAAGAGGCTGTTGGTCCATTAGGCTTTAAAATATTTTGATCCTTATAAAATAAGGGCTGTTTTGGGGTGGTGCTGCTGTGCAACCGTCACTGTCACCTGAACAGAGCTGCTGGGGGAGTCATGACACGGGTGGAGCTTTTCTTTGGGAAAAAAGAGTGTTTTGGTCAGAGAACAGACACACACCACACATCCCACCTCCCACCCCTGCCCTGCTTCCAAGCCGGGGCAATGTCCTGCACCATCCAGGACCTGAAAGGTGCCTGTAAGAAAGCTGGGGAAGAGCTGTTCACTGGGGCATGGAGTGATAGGATGAGGGGTAATGGTTTTAAACTGGAAAAGGGCAGATTTAGGTTGGATGTGAGGAAAAAGCTCTTCCCCATGAGGTGGTCGGTCACTGGCACAGGTTGCCCAGAGGTGGTGCAGGCCCCATCCCTGGAGATGTTCAAGGCCAGGCTTGCTGGGGCTGTGAGCAACCTGATGTGGTTCAAGATGTCCCTGCTCACTGCAGGGTTGGACTGGAGGAGCTGTGAAGGTCCCTTCCAACCCAATACTTTCTATGACTCTGTGATCACTTTTGGTGCATTAGGATCACAGCAGCCACGAATACAGGTTTCTGAGAGTTAGAGAGAAAAAACGCACCAGACTGCTCTCATGCCAGTGGCATTCCCTGTTCCAAGGACAGCCTGTGCACTTTGCAGCGATGCATCCCTGGATGCAGTGGTGCTGTGGACAAAACGTGACCCAGAGCCCATCGTGCACGGCCACTCAGGAGCTGAGCTTTCCTCACGCTCCTGGCCCCACGTTTCTCTGCAGAGGACAGTGGAGTGGGGCAGAGCGTGTCCCTGCTGTCCTGACCCACATCTCCCATTCCTCAGCTCAGTGCCCTTCCCTGGGGTGGTCTGAGCCCTCTCATGCTGAAGTCATTGATGGACCAGGTCTGTCCCTCTGTCCATGAGGCCACCACCAGCCCTGGTGGCAGAGCCCAGCTGTGTGGCTATCTCTAGAACAGACTGAAAGCCGTCAGCTCAACAGCTTTGAAGCCTTAAATTAATCTTGGAGCAGCTGAATTTGCAGCCTCCACTCCCTGTTTGCTGTTTGTGATTTGATGGGCTCTGTGAGTTGTCCCATTGCCTCCTGTCATGGGGTGCAGTTCAACCCAGGGCTTTGCTTCCAAACCCCAAAGACCATGTGAGATCAGCAGGTCACAGAATCCCAGACCGTTAGGGATTGGAAGGGACCTCCAAAGCTCATCCAGTCCAATCCCCCTGCCGGAGCAGGAACACCCAGATGAGGTTACACAGGAAGGCGTCCAGGCGGGTTTTGAATGTCTGCAGAGAAGGAGACTCCACAACCTCTCTGGGCAGCCTGGGCCAGGGCTCTGTCACCCTCACTGAGAAGAAGTTTCTTCTCAGATTGAAGTGGAACCTCCTGTGTTCCAGTTTGTGCCCATTACCCCTTGTCCTATCATTGTTTGTCACCGAGAAGAGCCTGGCTCCATCCTCGTGACACTCACCCTTTAAATATTTCTAAACATGAATGAGGTCTCCCCTCAGTCTCCTCTTCTGCAAACTAAAGAGCCCCAGCTCCCTCAGCTGTTCCTCATAAGGGAGATGCTCCACTCCCTCGATCATCTTTGTAGCCCTACGCTGGACTCTCTCCAGTTGTCCCATTGCCTCCTGTCATGGGGTGCAGTTCAACCCAGGGCTTTGCTTCCAAACCCCAAAGACCATGTGAGATCAGCGTGTCCTGGGGGCTCACTGGAGTGGGGGCATCGTTTCATCAAAGGGGCATGAGGAGAGCTCAGGGTCTGCTGAAACGGGCCCAGTGGGTATCGCCTGCAGGTTTCCCAACTGCCCCATCCCATCTGATCAGCTCCTGGCTGTAACCTGTGCGGTGCTTTGAGGTGTTTTAGTGACTGCTCCTACAGAAATACTCTTGTTTTTCTTTAAAACCAAACGTGTTGTTTTCCTTCCGAGTCCTCATGACCATCTCTGTTATGAATCCTTGTAAACAGGAGAAGCGAGCCCTGGAGCGGAAACTGTCTGAAATGGAGGAGGAGATGAAGGTAGGAAATCATCAATTCGTCTGTCTGCTCAGTTGTTGTGTTCCGTACTGGCGTCTTTGGGGCTGTCACCCAGGAGTAGTAAAGGTGGAGAAGGGACTTGTGTTACATCTGAGCGTGTTCCTTTATGCAGCCAGAACTTACCTTAATGGCCGTGTTTTCCAAACGTGAAATACTAATAAAACGGCCAATTATCGTTCATCTGATTGCACCAGATGTTTAATTTGTTACGCTGTTTGATCCGAGAGCGGTGAAAGCTGTTCTCCTCAAGCACTTCCCGAAACTAACCTCTGTGGCATCGCTGAGTTGCAGTGTGCTGATCCCCTGTGCTCTGAGTAGTCGTCCGCGGCCCCGGCAAAGCCGTCGTGGTTCTCTCCGGATGGGTAAGAAGACAGAGCTGGCTTTTGAGATCACGCACACCGGCCAGCAAAAACCACAGCGTGGTTGTGTTTCTGTGCGCATGGACTGGAGGGCTGTGTCAGCAGGGAGTAGGTGGCAGCAAAGGGGAATTTGCTTCCCGGTGACTTGCAGCATGTCTTAATGTCACCGGACATGGCCACCGGCCGCTCCTTCGCTTCTCTCTCTGGTGGCGTTGCTTCGAGGGACGGTTCTGCTCCAGATGCCCTGCGAGCACAGGGTTGATGGGGCGCGGCGTGGTTTGCTCCTCTGCACACCTCAAACTTCACTGGTTTTGCAGCATTACGGCATTTTACGCTGTATTTTAACGCTCGTGTTCACAGAATGCCCCCCTTTGCTCTGTGCCCTGCACTTTGATTCGCTTTGAGTGTTACCCAGGTGGGACCAAGCTGCTGCAGAAAGAAGGGCCCCATCTGAGAGCTGTGAGCATGGGGCACTGATGGAAACCATTCCCTGTCACAGCTTCCTGTGTCTGTTTGAAGCTTTGTTATTTACCTCTCTGAAAGGACCATTGGCTTGTGCTGCATCTTCTACTGCAGTGAGCAGCACCGAGTCACAGAGTCATGAAGGTTGAAAAAGTTCTCCTAAGATCATCAAGTCAACCCAACCCCACCATGGCCACTAAACCAGGTCCCCAAGTGCCACACCACGGCTTCTTGAACTCCTCCAGGGATGGGGACTCCACCACTGCCCTGGGCAACCCCTTCCAGTGCTTGACCACACTTTCAGTGAAGAATTTTTTCCCAATATCCAGTCTAAACCTAGCAAAGGGTTTGGTGGAGCCTTACTGTTCTTTCACAGAGGAGAAGATAGGTGTGGATGTGCTGGCCAGAGGGGAAGGAGAAAGGACTGAATGTGCCTAAATTCCAAATTCTTTGTTCGCGGGACAGGTAATAACCTTGAACTCCAGAGAAGCCTTGCTGTAATCACAGAAATTTGGCCTTCAGGAGAACGTGCAGACAGCAGCAGTTGTGGTGTTTCTCCAGCAATGCAGATCACTGCAAACCAGCTCAGCCCGTGGAGTAAAAAGACAAATTGGTGTCCTCTAGTGGCCTGTGGGTTCTGAAACATTTATATTGGTTCAGGAAGCAATTATTGAAAGAAGGTGCCTGTAGGAAGTGTTGGACGCAGCCAAAGCGCCGCTGGTTTGGGTTGTCTGGAGCTGCAGACTGATGGGAGCCAAGAAGGTGCAGAAGGAGCAGCGTGGCTGGAAGGGAACGTGGGCAAAGGGAGCCTGTGCTTTGCCTGCAGATGAGCCATCGGGTCCTGGAGAGCGGTGCTTGCTCTTTCCTCTGCTGTGTCCTTGCTGCATTGAGCAACCAAAGTGTCCTTTTGTTAGAATAAATAGACATGAGATTTGAAAATATCTCTTCTAAGGGGTTACGTTTCCACAAGTGCAAAAACTCGAGCGTGTGGCGAGTACCTGAGTGCGCTGTGACGTGTCCTCTTTCACAGCCACTCAATAGAAAGGAGAATATAGATACACGTCTCTGAAGATAAAATCCTTGAACTGGACAAGCACTTCCCGTGTCCACTTTTCGTCGTGCCTTAAAGCAGGAGAGACAGCCTGGTTGTGTTTGCCTACAGTGAGGTAACCACAGAGCATCTCTGTTCATCCCCGGTGCCAGAGTCAACCCAGGAAAGCAAATCTGTTAATTCTGGTTAGGTTTTCACTCTGGTTTCTTGCACTGCCGCTGAGCAGCACCAGGAGGAAAAGCGACCCAAGCAAATCCACCCCTTTTCTTTAGGGTGCGGAGCAGCGAGGAGAAACACCCAAACATGCCAGGTTATTGGGTGCTGGTTGATGGTGCTGCTCTGGGACTCCTCCCCACTCCTCTTTGATCACATCCAGCGTTTCGGTCCCAGGGTGTCTGTGTCCATGTGCATCTGATGTCCTGCCCAGGGCTTTCCCCTCCCTGCAGCTGATTTCTTGCAACGCGGAGGCACAGCAGTGGTCAGGGAAGGGCCTGGGTTTCTGGGCTAGAAACACTCGGTACTTCAAGCTGTAGCAGTAAAGAGCTTTGTTCTTTAATGAGTTTAACCCCTGCTAATGAAGCAATCGAAAAACGGAGAGGAGTGGGGTGAACTCTGTGATGCCAGAGCCGCTCCTGTGAAGGGGATGGAGCAATACCAGCATTTCCTCCGTGGCTGCAGGATGCGACTGGAGATGAGCGACTTGGCTGAGGAAGGAGAAAGAAAAGGAGCATTTGTGCTGGACCGAAATCCACACCAAGAGCCCGAGGTCCCAACTCAACACAGCAATTCTTCTTGAAGGTCACGGGAGCCGTACAGCTCTGCACCTCCTGGCTGTGCACCATGCGTGCTCTGGGCGTTTTGATTTCCCCTCATGTTGCAGGCACCAAATCCTTTATTTGCAGGCAGGTACAGCTGAACAGAGACCTGCTTTTGCTGAGCCAGGTGTCCAGCAGGGTGATAAGAAGTCGCAGCGGCAGCATCTTTGCCTTGGCTTCGGTCCCAGCTTCCCGGCCTTTGCTGGGTTTCTTGGACCAAAGGAAGGCTCTGTCCTACCTGCAGCACACACATATTTTTACATAAATGATCCTTTTTATCATGAGGCTGAGCTGCGGCTGCTCAGGTCGTGCTGAGGTGTGGAAAACAAAGCTGGTCCCTAAAGCGATCGCAATCCTTTCCATCCCGCGTAGCTCAGCGCCCCGTTTTGCAGCTGTTTGGTGTTTGCTGCCTGCCAGATGCTCAGTGTGTTCCCTGTGAGAAAGGAGGACGTTTATTATCCGTGATACCACCAAGAGAAATGGCTCTTCCCCTGTGACCCATCCTCCAACAGCTCCTGGGTGATCCCACGCAGGAGGGACAGACGATGTCTGTCTGTCCTCACTGAGCACAGGATGAGCTCAGGCTGGTTCAGGGGTTGATGGCTGAGATTTGAGGTGTGACTCCTCACAGGACGGACGGGTGATGTCTGTCTGTCCCTGCTGAGCACAGGAGGAGCTCAGGTGGGTTTAGGGGTCAATGGCTGAGATCTGGGGTGTGATTCCTCACAGGACAGACAAGGGATGTCTGTCTGTGCCCACCAAGCACAGGGAGAGGCACAGCTCGGGTGAGTTTAGTGATGGATCAATGGCTGAGATTTGGGAAGGGGCATCTCACTGCCAAGACGTCCCTGAAGCCCCGCTGCCATTTGCTGCCGTTTGCTGCCGTGGCTCTGTCTCAGGACCCGTTGGTTTACCCGGTGTTGGTGTACCCCAAGGAGCTGCTTTGTCAGTCTGACAACCTCGGGGGACTCAAACCCCACCTTTGCTGGCTCCCTGCACCCTCCTGCCTTGCGTCTCTTGGCTTTGCAAGGCTTTTGGACAAGGTGTCTTCATTCCTCCACAGGGAGCAGAGGTGGCGCTTCTGGGCAGCGGTGACCAAGCCGATGGACGGGGGCTGCAGGAAACACTTCTCTTTCATACAGAAACAAGCCCTTGTCAGGGTGTCCTGGCATGCAGCAGGTTCCTTGCCCATGTCATGCCCATGGGGTGGATGTTCATGCCTTGTGCCACCGCAGGTTTGCCCGTGCTGCTCCTGGCAAAGGACAGGCAGGCAAAGGACGTCCCTTTGAGCGCTTTCTGCTGATGCAATGGCAGAAAGGAGTCCCCTTCCCCTGCACCCATCCCTGCGTCCCCTCCCTGCCACTGCAGCCTCACGAGGAAGAGGATGCAGGGAGGAGCGCGTTGGTTTGCGGAGCTGCCCTGGTTCTGGGCTGGGATTTGTTCACTTGAACCAAAACCTGCTCGTTTCACAGACTTTTCCCCTCCTGCATTCCCCTGGCTGTGCTCCCCCCACCACGGAGGGGGTTTCTCATTCACGTGGCCCCACTGCCCGAATTGCTGTGGGGAGGATGGATGGACAAGATGCTGCTCAGAAAGCAGCTCCATGGCCTCATCGTGTCCTGGCATCTGCACATGGCTTTGCTTTAGCACCACCAGGAAAAACGTCGTCCTTGTGGGAATGTCGATGTCTGCCTGGCTTTCCCCGTGCCCCGTTTATCTTCCTCAGTGCTTTTATGTTGTGTCTCCCCGTTGCTGCTGTACCTGTGCTCACCCCAGTTTTGGGGCTCAGTTTCTACCCCATCCTTTGCCCAGTTGTTCCTTTTGCTGTGTTTTCACGCTGCTGCCATCCAAACTCATGAAAAGGAGTCAGGTTCTGACTTGTCACCTCTGGAGATCAGAGAGAAGTCGAGCCCCGTGGCAGAGTTGGATGAACCCCCCCCTCATCCCAGCCCTTTGGGCAGATCCAGGAGGCATCATTCAGGTGCTGCAGGGACAGGGATGGTGTCTCCATGGTCTGCTCTGGGACAGGGGCTTCATTTTGCGCCTTTTAAAATCCCCTGTGGAGCTCTGATCTCTCTGTGCTACCCAAGTCTGCTTTAGTTTTGGGAGACACATGAGCAAAAGGAGTTTTAAACCAATTCTCAGTGCCAGTGGTGCTGTCAAAGCCCACGTCGGTGGGCAGTGGTGGTAGCTCTCACAGCAGGTCCCAGGTCCAGCAGCTGCTGGAGCAAACTGGGTAAACTGGAAAATAAGCTGCAAAAACCTGTCCTGCTCTGTGCTGGGAAATCCCTTTAT